AGAAAACTAAAACCTAGAAAATTGAGAATATGCAATTATATTATGAAACTATAAAATAAAGAAGCAACAAATCATGGTAGAAATCATGAACCATGCTCATAGAATAAAATGATACTTAAACAAATAAGTATGCACATTTTACTAGAGTTCTAGAAATAAAAGCATTCATGCACTTTACAGACCAAGCAGAGAGCCTCCCAAACAGTTGCAAGCATGTATATATTATTATATCATAAATAAAGCATTAGCGCAAAAATCATGAGTTCATGTATTACACAGTGGGCTCTTATTCAAATTCAAAAGACCTGCAGAATGATTACAATCCATGGGAATTATCATAGCAGTACAATAGTTTATATTTATTTATTAACAAGATGAAAGAACTGCTCAGTGTAATTTACTAAAGAAAATAAGAACTTTACCAACAAAGCACTACAGTATACAAAAGTCACAAGAAAACCAATTTGCACAACTAGCATGAAACTAATTTAATTTCTACATTACTAACAGAAGCATGTCAAATGTCATAATTTAATCTCTTACAAATTACATATGAATATATTTATCTAATTTCATGGGACAAAAAAAATATGTTTTAAGATTGTTGGCTAAATTTTGTAATTAAATAAGATAAATAGATTCGCGATTAATCAAACTAAACTACAGAATAAGAAAATATGCTGGAAATTACAACCATATTGCACAAAAATACATAATACATTACAATGGTAAAGAAAGCAAGCCGAAACCTGTGTGATACCACAGTCCCCTTAAAACAGATTCGCCACCTCACCGTGGGTGCTGGAGGTACGTCAGTGTCTGTCTCCCCGAATATGACAGTCTAGACCTACTAACGCAGAAGCACCTTCTGTTAGCTTTAGCGAGCCAACAATGGCAGCACTCTCTCACACAGGAAGAAAATTATAAAAGCAAGCTGACTGTATAACATGGAAGCCAAAAAAAATTCTATGTGTCAACCAAAGAAGTTAGTCTATATTTATACACCATGAAGGAGAGAGAAGGAGCCTCCAGCCATAAAGGCTAGCAACCAATGCAGCCCATTACACCTGCAAAATTGCTGGAGTAATGCACAAAACTGATGGGGATTCAATGTGTAAGTTACATATAATATACACATGTGTGTATATATATATCTGCAACCACTTGACAGACTTGGCCCCAAAAGATTAGGTTGGTAGACCACCAATCCGACCCAACCCAAACCTAACCCATTCTTCAAGCCTCAAGCCCAAGATCCAAGATCCATGACCCACGAATCATGAATCACGGACCCAGACCTAGCCCGAGCGAGCAAGCCACGCGCTCTTGTGTGGCAATTTTTGCATAACTAACTTGGACCATAGTTTTGGCTCAAGTGTAGCTCGACTTTTTCGCGTCCCTTTTCGGAAGACAAATAAGCCCTACAGTATCGGACTCCCGCGGTTCTGAATCTAATCTCACAAGTGCAATGTGAAATAGATAAACACCAAAGAGTCCCAATCCGAAAAATCTTTTGGAAAATCGATTTTGAATCAAATTGTCAAAAATGAACTATTTTGCCAGATACAGAGTGGCCACCTAAATATTTTTTAGATAAATTTAAGAAACCCATGACTCGTATTGTCTCAGCTCAGGAACTTAGGTACAAGAGGGGAAGGTCATGAATTGAGCACCTCCACTCGCCCGATCAAAGATCGACCTCTACTAATCATGGTATGATTTTTATCTACATTATATGCTCTTGTTCTGGTTATTAGGCTAGCATTACTATGTGATGCATGCACACACGAGTATGGACTAACTTGCAAAAATTGGAACATTTGATTCATGTTTGTTTGAAAAATCGTTTCGAATATGTATCACTTGAAATATGACTAATGCAACTCATGTAAAAATGCAACTAATAGGCTCGACTACTAATATGACATATGAATCAAATTGATAACATGTAATCTAAGCACGTATTCAAATAAGTATTTAATAAACGTTGCAAGTTAGAATGATGAACCGAATCTCGGTGCATGCAATACAAATGGATGCAAACATGGAGTATGCTAAACAAAACATGATGCTCCTTAACTAACCATCATAAGCTAGTAAAATAAAAGGGAAAAAGACGTGGGGTTGAAAAACATACACATTATTACATTGCGCTCTCATGAAGGAGAGTCTGAATTAATAAACTAGCTAACTAATTACCTAGCTATTACAACAACAAATGAATAGGTAGCTAAACTAGTTAACTAATTATTACAAACCGAATTAATTAACTAATCTAGCTAATTAAAATAATTACAAGATGAAATCAAACAATTAGTTAACTAACTAATTAATTACAACACTTTACAAACAAATATCTAAGCTAAATATTTAAAATTAAACATGCTCGGTACGCGAGAAATGCTCATGCACGTGCTCGATTTCCACCCGAAAAACCACTGTTTCTGTTGCTAAATGCCTCTGTTGCACAATAGAACACTTACATTCATTTCCACCTCCAGACTAGCTCTGCTCTACTGGGAGAGTACACTGCTGAATTTTGCATTGGTGGCCGGCCCCTTCACTGATGATGGCTTGCCGGCCACTGCTGGTTGCGCTTCCCTGCTGCAACAGAGGGCAAACAGAGCATGCACAGGGTATTCTCAAGGGTTGTGTGAAAACCCATCTTTTAATTATTCTTTAAAGAAAATAAATAAATAAATTAATTAATTAATTTTGTCTACAGTCTATCTGAATTGTATATTAGTGTAAAAGCTAGTTTTAAATTGACTAAATTCAATCACTAACAAAGACCTTATTAAGAATAAAAATGTTGTGGATGCTTAATAACTATTGTTATAATTTATTAGTTAAAAAAAAAAAATAGGAGGAATCTGATTCGGTGGCAGTATATGCCACATGCAAGCTTGCATGTAAGCTTGGTAACTTCCATCCCATTATCATTCTTGGGTTAAGGAGAAGTGTAGTGGGGAGTATAATGAGAAAGAGAAAAAGAGAGAGAGAGAGAGAGTGGGCCCCTAATAGAGTGGGGAAGCTCAGCATATATACACCATGAATGGCTGAGCAAAATCCCATGCAAAGAGAGGCTTGGTCTGCTCTTTCGTACAAGTGAGGGAAAATTAGAA